CTCTATTAAGCAGCCAGCCCCTTTCAAGCGGCCACAGTACATTTCCCCGAGGGTGGCTGTTTAATAGGGGTTCAACTGTATTTAAATAACTTACCTTTGCAGCAAGCCATGTTGAAAGGAACAAAATATTAACTGAGTAAATTTATTTGGCATGCGATTTAAAAAACAACAAAAAATAAAGGGGCCATCTCTTAGATGACAGATTAAACTTAATACTTATTTTAAAAAAATTATGTGTATACCAAAACATTTCTTGCAATCTTCTGAAGAAAAACTTATGGACTAAGGGAGTCAGGCGACCCAATGATATGTCCATTCACCTGTCTCTGATTGTCAGGAATTGTATAGGTTAAAAAGTTAAAGTAAAATGGATTACTGACACGTTTTCAGAAATTTCTATATTCCGGAAATGACCAATGAATCTGTATTTCAATGAGGAAATATGGAAGTGTTAACAGGAGATCAATCTTCAAAAGGTTATTGACATCTTTAACTCACTACAAGACAGTGCTTTACCATGTCTTAGAAAAACAGATCATAGAGTCTGGACAGGAAAAAACCCAAGTCCAATTACCCAGGGTAAGTAAATTGTGCTCTTGGACAATTGGAAAAGGAAGTTTGGTGGTCCGGTGGGAGAGTGAAATTAGCCTCAGTAGTCTTGTTAGTTGATAAGGCATGAACATTACATGCCTTGGACATGAATGGCCTATTGGGCAAGAAGTATTGTATTGGGGGTAACTGAAAACTGAAATGCACTAGGCAAGCAGATTTCTTTTATTTTTTTTTCCTGCCCTGATGGAGTGACAGAGAAGATATGTTTAATAATATTCATTTTAAGGAAAATACACTAACAAAATAAGACTCTAGCTTTCTTACATTATCAAATAGACATAACTAATTTTAATGTTTGGATCACACTGTATGATTTACTGGATTTCATTGCTGTTTTAATTTATTGCTAAAAACAGATGTTTATGACTAAAACAAAATACTTTAAGACAATAGTATTGAGTATGCGTGAACATTACTCCATACAGTTCAAAACTCAGGGAAATTGAATTTCTCCGATTTGATGATAGCTTCTATCCAATAGAACAATAAAATATTGAAAAAGCTTGTAACTTGGAAATACACATCTACATCAATGTTATAAACATCTTATCCCAGATCACATAGCTCACCGACATCTTATCTAAAACTCCTAGGAACTACTTTGTTCTACAAAAATACACGCAAGGCATTTTTGAGCAGTGGCTCAGTTGGCATGTACTGTGGACCAAGCTTTGAACAACAACAATCCAATTTACACAGTTTCATGAATATAAAACATATTTTGCAGAATACTTCTCCAAACACTCCAATGTCTCTTTACAAAAGAAAGTGAGCAATCAAGAAATCGTTTAGCTCAGCATGTATTGCAGAAAACTTTGCCCTAGGTGTTAAGTATATCCCTTAGTCTATGGCTCCAGGCCTTTGTTGCATTTCAATCCCAACAGAGTCAAAGAATTTGTCCTCGCCTAGTGTGGTCCCTATTTCCTGTCTAGGGCTAATGCTCAGCCTACAAGTCGCTGAACCCACCCCCAAGGAAAAACAGCGAGGAGGGAACGTTTCCTCCCTCCTGTTTTTCCTCGGGGGTGGGTACGACTACACATAGGCTAGCAAATAATAAGAAAGAAATACTTAGGTTAACTTCCTGCACTCCAAATTACTTAAGAGTTCTCTATTTTCAGCTT